TGTAGCTTTCTAGATTGCAATATTTGTTTTATTAGACATATTACTATTATTATTTTATTAAGGACATTTCCAAAAAAAATATCGACATCACAGGGGACCGAAGAGCTGGCAGCTACCTCGGTCAAAGAATTAGTTTAGCTGTACAGAGGGGGAACGCTGCCAGTATCTTCGGGACCTTAGATAAAGGGACTCCTTTTAATAACATATTTTAGTGAATTATTCGTTTTTTTTAATACTTTATTTTATATCATAGATTTAAGACTATATGTAATTATAGAAATAAGCATGTATATTTTAAATTGCTTATACTAATAATATAAATGCGATTGTTTAGATGGATCGCAATAAAAATAGGTATAGATATAGAACATATATAGAAGAACTTATAGGCTACTGTTTGTCTTTTATTAAATCCTCACGCTATCGCGGGCGAATGCTAGTATTAAATAATTTAATAAAATGTCAATGTATGGATTGTTATTGCTTTTTTTTATTTGGAACAACTAACGACTACATAATTTATTATATAAAAAAATGTGTCTACATTTTACTCTGTGGTTGGGTTGTATGATATAAAGAAATATTCTAGTCTCAATAGCGGCTAAAATAACTGAATATATAAAAGGTATCTGCGTTTTCTTAGAATAGACAATGAACAATGTACCCGTGTGCCTCCGGGAGACAATAGCCCGCGCTCGCGCCTCCCGATGTTGAGTTAGATGTGCCCCGGGAAGCAACGGGAAGTTATCTATAGTCCGCATTCAATTTCCACGACTTTCTTAGCGATAGTACGGTGCAATGCAATACACTGGATTATACTAAACATGTCATGTTTTAAGGGTATGATACTTAGTCGTGGTAAATTAGTTAAGAATGCAACGATTTCGACTGTGGTTATAAATTGTAATCTATGGATGGAAGTACAATGACCCAAGAATACTTTGAAACCTTTAAACTAAGTTTTAAATTTAACTAAAGTTTAGCTCAAAGTTCCGATTGAGTGCTGTAAACAGTCTGACATACGTTTTAAACGTACGCATAGCTATGTTGGTGTAAAGAGGGACACTGAGCGTTACCTGTTGCGTAATTATTGGGAAATTCGCTTTTCATTTCCACACACCATTTAACTGCGCTGCGCATCGCTGACGGCGTCTGTCGGTCCTTCTGATGGTAAATCGCACAATCGTAACCACAACAGACTGACATCACCTTAGTGTTTATGCATTCATGTAAGGGTTTAAAGTGAAAACAAATAATGTTTGTAATTCCTATTAAGTCACTATAATCGGCCATTGACAGGACAGTAACGTTTGGTGGAAATATGTCATGGTTTAGACATATTTCTACAATGTATTATATTTAAACACGTTACATATAAATAATTAACTTATTCCCATAATCGATTAATATCGGATCACATAAAAAAAAGATCACATATGGATTTTAGCCCTCTTTTAAGGATCTTTGCTTTTAAGGATGTGTAGAGGAAATGGATTTGACGGAGAAAATGCATACGACGTAAACTTTTTTTGTGTGTAAATCCTCTGTAGATTTAAGGTAGGTAAAGCATCTGCGATTATTTCTATGGGCAGCAGTCGCTTCGCTATATCGTATTCAAGTGGTCATTTGCTTGTTTAACACCTTATAATATAAAAAAAAATCCAAACAAAATCAACACCTTTGTCGATCGATCACATTGAAAAATGATATGCTTAAAAATATGATATTTTATTCCGTTAAACTTAACTTTTATATAGGTCATAACTTTATAATGTAGATTGTAGATAGATTAGCGAGTAGCCTAGTTGCGGTTGTATAAACAACCGTACGACCCGCAGACTGTCCCAGTAGCAGCAATCGTCAGGAACTATCTATAACGGGAAACAAAAGCCTTAACAACTGTCGAACTAATTAATGATATCATTGTGAAGGTATTTAAAAATGCAATTACAATGCGAAAGTTTATGGATATTTGTTAGAAGGCAACTCCAGAACCGCTATACAGACCTCGCTGAAATTTGGCACAAAGAACATAGTTTGGACAAACACTAATTAAGTTTTTCTTTAAGTCTACGCGGACGGCGTCGCGGATGACAGATGGTTATAAGTAAGTCTAAAACACAACACACCCCGAGTAACCAAGAGAAGACAGACTGATTTCCATTTGGCTTAGTTCTGACACACCATTTACGTACGTAAGAGTTTCTCCACTCATATGTAAGCAATGAAATAGAAACAGTGTATTGAGGAATTAAAGATCTTTAACTATAGATATTTTTATCTAGGTTTGGTAGTGAATCACAATATATATCTTTCGTTCTTTCTACTTACTTTCGTAACGCACCCTTTGGTTTTTTTGCCTGCTTTGTAATGTCTTTTTAATATTTCTATAATTAATAGTAGTCAATAAATATGTTAATTAAACCACAGACACAGTTCGAATAAATACCGATTGGTCAATTAATAACTGTGAAGAAACGCATGTCACACACGAATGATTTAGTCGGAAGTTGTTGTAACATGGTGATTTTGTCGCTTCTAATTCTGTCAAATCACTCAAGTTATATTTAGTGGTCACGAGCTCAAAGTTGAAGGGAATTTTGGTAATGAGTGTGATAAATGATATGATTCCGTATTCGATTACCTGACGCACTCCGTGAGAAAAGCTTCGCCTTTTGTGAACATCTCGTGTTACAAATAACAAGTCGGGACTATTTATAAAGCGTCGATGGCTCAGAGGTTAAATACTTGCAATTTGCAGGTCTTGGTTTCGAATCCAATGTGTTTTTCGATTTACATATGCATCCGACGTTCTTACGATGAAAGAAAACAGTGAGTGCGTCGGTGGCTCAGGGGTTAAAGCACTTGTCTTGCAATCTACAGGTCCCGGGTTCGAAGCCCACCGTGTACTAATGTGTTTTTCTATTACATATGTATTATCCGACGTTGTTACAATGAACGAAAACATTGCGATGCAACCTACAGTTATCTGCGATGAAATTCAAAGATATATGTGAAGTCAACCAACCCATACTGGGCCAACATGGTTGACTATGACCTAGTTAACCCAAACTTACCGTGAGTGTGGACGTATAGTGAGCTGGTGATGATGACCTACCTCCATAACTTTTGTAAATAGTTTGTAAATAGTTTTTATTTCTTTTGTAAACTGTATTTTTAAATTAATTTTAATAATATTTAGTTTCATTGTAAAAGTTTTCCTTTTACAATGGTAGAGAAAATTCTGATAAAGTATATATTGGTTGCATTGGAGTTCCCGCTAGAAAATCAATCCGCCTAAAGCTTTGTCTACGTGCATATCGGCCTTAAACATTTAATTGCTACTCATAAAGTCGATTGTATTCGGCGCTAAACAATTTCCACAACTCTAAAGTTAGATTCTCCTTTCATTACCGTATTAAATATGTCCGCTTATAAATAATCGTATATCATATGTATTGAAACAAGATGTCATATTCTTGTACACTTCGCTTGTTATTATGTTTATTTTAATGGATTTAGTAACTATGTCAAACGACAGTTAAGCTAGTCCGTTATTATCCCAACAGTTTAAGGTTACATTAGAAATGATATGTTCTTTCTATTCGTTAACATTTGTTTAAGAAGGTCAATTTAATTTGAATAACTTTCGCTCTGTGCAACAGATATTTATTTCAAATAGATATTATTTTATGTTCAAAAGGGTATGGATAAAAAAATCGCGAATTCAAAATTTGTAGTGGAAGCTCACGTTTATTTTCTGTGTTTGTAATCTTGAATTTAGTAAGATGCTTCTAGCAAAACAAAAGTAAGTAAAGTTATTTGTGTAACATTTATACGCAGTGTCACAAAGGAAGAGCTATAACTTGGATGTGTTACCGCCAGATTATGGAATTCGTCAGCTTACAATCTGGACAAATTAGAAAGTTTGTAAATTGCGAACGTTTGCTTTCGATAATACATTATAAATTAAGTTATAATTTAAGTTTAAGTTATAATAAAAAAAGTAAAGATTAGGATTGTTATATTGGACAGTTATTAAAATATTGTAACCATTTTAAAAATAGACTTGTTGGCTTAAGTAAAATGGTTTGATGAGTTTCGAATTTCCTGGCGATGAATGATGCTTAGTCGGATTATAAACTGACGAAGTTCACAATATATCGTTTACAGATGCACGGCCGTGCTCGTACGAGATACAGATATATTGCCGTGCATATCAGGAACTCAGCCTTTGAACTTAGTCCGCTGGAATGCAACATTCGTTCGGGAAATAATACTAATTGTGATGTTAAGAAAAATATTGTATGTCCCAACGAGAAGGACTGTGGATAAATGGATGCTTTTCTGATTTTTCTCTACTGTTGGTTCCTTGGATGTAATATCTTATATCTTCAGAATATAATTTTACGCTAATTTTCTATTCAAATTATGTTTATTTTTAGCTACAAAACTAAAGCCGTGTGATATAATTAAAATAGACGACAGAGTTAATTCGAATAGGTAATCAAACGAATGTTTAAAAAACATTTCAACATTTATAATATTCAATGAGAAACGATCTGGTTGCAATCAGTTCGCTCGTTCGGAAATGGCGTGCGACGTTGACAGATGAAAGGGAAATGTAAAATTTCAATCGTTCGAATCTGTTCCACATCGCTATTAGAAATTATGCGATACTAAAAAAAACTAATTTCCGCTTTTCAATACAAACGTGAACTAGACGAAGGTTAGTAAAAAGTCTAAAGTCCAAGACAGATAGACGTAAGGCGATTTGTTCCGATCGTGTGCGAACTCGTAGAAAGAAATGTTTCAATCTTTGAAATATTCGAACGTATTGAATGAGATCAACAAACCATCAGAGGTAGGCTACTTTTTTGCGCAAGTACATTCGAAATTGGAGCACAAGCATAAAAGAAACATATACTATTGTAAAATTCTAGTTAAAAGTTGGTGCCGGCGTGGGTTCATAGCTCGGTATAGTCGATTACACGACGCGGCGGAGTACACACGTGCCGTACAGTTTTCCGACGCGCTCTCCACGCGGTTTGCACTTCGTAATTAAACACGATACCAACATCAAAGACAAGAACTTTTTCATAAGTTTTTAAACACAATTATCTATAGTTCCAAGTATTTAAACATTTTCTAGTTTGTGATTAGATAGTGTATTATTGTCCTGTGATCCGAGAATAAAAAGGTTAGTATTCTGGATAAATTACAATTATAAATAAATAAAAAAATGACATTTAATTTAATTACATATGTTTTTAATTCTAGTGTAGACCGGACACATCGATTATTCAACCTTAACCCTTGCCCAATCAAATTTAAATATTGTCGAAACTAGTTCAACCCATTTTAATATTGTGAATAATGTTCATCTAATTAACTAAGCATAATTTTGTTTACAATGCATTTATTCGTATATAAGTAAAAAACAATGATGTAACGAAGAAAAAAAACACGTTGAGGACACTTGTGTAATGCATCTCTACATGACAAATCTTTACTCTACTTTTTAACGATTTTTGCATCTGTAGAAAATTTAAAAAATATAATATTCGTTTTTTAAATACTGTTCTGATGGTAGATCTCTCTCAGGTAAATGATGTTCATGTCAATTATGTTTTCACGCTGGCACATAATCAATTATCAGAAAGCCATTTACAGCACGTATGACACAAAAAAAGAAACTTCCCAATATGTTGCAGTTGTGGATATACAAAGAGTTTTTATGAAGTTGTATAACCTGCCAGTTCGATAATTAATAAATATGATTATTAAAAGGCTTTCAATTAATATTAATGTATGCAATACATATCGTGGCTTATCACTTCATACGTGTTTTTGACAACTGTTTTTGCTCCTCGATATTCAAATTGACAACGGTTGGTTTTTTTATTTGAGTATTTTCGTCCTGAACGTTGGACGAAATATATATAATTTCTTAGTAATAATAGACTATTGATCTTAATTTTTTCCGGTATTCAATGATTTTTTTCTTACGCTTTATTTTTTTACGTATCTCGTTCTAAGTAAAGTTACCAATAATTTTGTTTTTAGTATACTTCTACCGTATTTTCATTAAAAATTATTAGTTTTAGATAAGTGATTAATTTAATATTTTTCTCATTAGAATTGTGTTATTCATTAAAAAAATATATTTTAAAGTTGAACTTGAGAGTAGAACATCATCAACCTGTCCTTGTCCTTAGAGGGTCGGCACAGTACGTACTACTCTTCCATACATCTCTATCAGCAGTCATATCTGAATTCACTACCTTCTTACGCATATCCTCTTTCACACAATCCATACATACATTTTTCGGTATTCCTCTACTTTTGTAGCCATTCATATTCAATTAAATTAAAAAGAAAAATAAAATGACCTTATTTGGTTTACATTAATTACTAATGAAAACTTAATGGACACATTTTAAGGATAGCTGCCAGCTGTACCCCGCGACTTCGTTCTTGTGGTATTAAAATTTGATTAACTTATGTGTTCTTCCAGATTTCGTTCTAGATCCATGCCAAATATCATCGAGATCATTCATACATACGAGCATTCGCACTTATAATATTAGTAAGAAGTGAGATTATTCAAGAAATTATTGTTATATGCGATCATCTCTATTTTGCTATCTTTGTACCTTCTATACTTTTTAATTATTATTTAGGAAATGCAATTGTAATTATCGGTTCAATATGAAATCAAATAAAATCGAATGGCGGTTATAAAAGTTCATTGAACTCTATATTACATAAGTTGTATCAAGTCACGCGTTTAGTTTTAATCAATGGACTTAGTTTTTGTTTGATCATTTAATTCTATTACTATCAATGTATTAATAATGATAAATAATAATGATTACACTCAATTGCAAAAAAAACGATCCATCAATTTTATATCTCTCAAACTCGAAATAAAATATGTCATGTGGCGCTTGAAATATGTTTGCTCCTCAAACAATCTTACTAATATTATAAATACTAATGTTTGGATGGATGGATGTTTGTTTAAAGGTATCAGAATGCGTGCATGGATCTCGCTGAAATATGGCATAGATGTGTAGAGCATAGCCTGGAAGAACACGTTAATTTTTACTTACATACTAACTAAGTTTTTTTACTCCGCGCGGAATAAAAAAACTTAGTATGTCAGGGTCGGACAGATAGTTGAATAATAAATTTAAAAAATCATTCAGTCTTAATAAAATGTATCAAAATTCCAATGCTCAAAGATGAGCGAAGAGATTAATTTACAGTACATTGCGGGTTCTCTGATAATTCGCTCAAAGTTGTGATATTTTGCGCGTAATATTCGCGTAATTCGGTCGGAGTGTCATTAAGGCTATAATACTGGTTAATCTTAAATGCTGATACATTGTCGTGCGGTGGGAGTGTAATTACAGTGTGGCTGTTACAGATAACATCTGCCGCATACCGCGGCCGTAATCCAACCCGCTAGTATTGTCCTAAGCAAATCACCGTGAATATTAATGGTGTTTCGAAGGTTTAACGATCATCAGATTCTTTCTCATGTTTTAGTATCCTTTAGTTTAGTAAGACAACAACTATCGTATTGAGTGTGATCATCCAAAGCAATCGTAGCAATCTTAGTAAACTTTTTAACACGTTCAGCGCTAACGATTTTATAGATCTTTTCTCGTATACCATATGTACATTTTACTGGACTTCTTTGAGCTTGCTAGACGAGTTGTCGATAATCAACGCGTTAAAATCTTTTCCCAGTAGATAAGCTTAATTAAGATATTAAAGTAAACAGTCGTTGACGCGAAAATTGACAACTACTTTAATATTATCCTATTCCGATGTCTATTTCCTTTTCCTGATTCAGTAGCACAAAAACAAACAAAATAGACACTTAGAAATTAGGAAGGCCTTTATTGAAGATTTAGTACGAGAAATCTTCACTAAAAGACCATTAAAAGCCCTCAGTGAGGCAATTAAATCTATTTTTTTTGTTTTATCAAAAAAAGGTTCTTTGACAAAACTGCAAAGAGTAACTCTGAATAACGAACACTGATTTAATGGGTTCGATCGTGTTATTTTTCTATTGGCCCCTCGGAAGTGGGTCGCAGTAGTTTCGATAAGCTGTATGACGCTAGCTCGCTGCGAAGGGCAAGCTGTTACGCCACAGGAAGTATTTCAGGAATGCGCAATACGAACATTAACACGCGTAATGACTTGTTACTCGTGTTCTCCCTTTTGTCCATACTTTTATGTACTATTTCGTTATAGGGAAATGGTTTTTACAACTTTAAAGTGACTCCTGTTTTTGATATAGCAGAAGTAGAGCTTCTGGCATTATTAAAAACGATTACCATGTTATCCTTGACATTGTATATTTGACAATTTAATCGATGCGAATGTTTAGATGGATGGATGTTTGAAGGTATCTCCGGAACCGTTCAACGGATCACGATGAAATTTAGCATGGATATAGAACATATTCTACGCGTTAATTTTTTAATCCTCATGGACGGAGTTGCGGGCGACAGCTAGTGCAGTCATATTGAGGAATATTTTTGTCATCATCAGCTCACTAAACGTCCCCATCGAGGGGCTCGGAGCCTACCCTAAGTTAAGTGTGATTAGGCCATAGTCAATCACGCTGGCCAAGTGCGGGTTGGTTGATATCACACATATCTTTGAATTTCTTCTCAGATATGTGCAGGTTGCATCACGATGTTTTCCTTCAACTTAAGAACGTCGGATAAATGTACATATGTAAATCGGAAATCGAAAAACGCATTGGTACATGGCGGGATTCGAACCCAGGACCGGCAGATTGCAAGTCAAGTGATCCCTGACCCACCGACGATTCTCGATATTTTTGTACGGAAAACTTTTATGTTGTATAATTTATTCTGGCATCAATTATAAATTTGTTAAGTATTGTATATCTTAATATGTACTGAGAGTATTGATTAATTCATTTAGATAATAAACATGAGTCTGGTTTTATACCTATTACTAAATTATAATTTTATCTTTTAATTAACATATCGATAATATCATATAAGTTATTGAGATTTGTGTTCATTTAATTGGAAATATTTTAGATATATATTTTGTATTTATATTTTTATAATCAATTAATTAAAAACCAATTAAAATATATGTGAATTCTTTAGATATTAGTTTTTTCGATGATAATTTTAACATTTTTGTTTATTTACTTATCACGTAACTAGCTGTTGCCCACGACTCCATCCTTAATAAGTAGACTATGTGTTCTTCCAGATATGTTCTACATCTATGCCAAATTTCAGCGAGATACGTGCAGCCGATCCGGAGTTACCTACAAACAAACATCTATCCATCAATCCATGTGAACATTCGCATTTATAATATTAAGTAAGAAGTAAGAAGAATGCGTTCATTTTATTTTTAAATGAAATCCAAACTTATTAAAATAATTGCCGTAGTACATTGTTTAAACTTGACATTAAAGTGAAATTTGAACAGTGTACCACGTCGTTGTATACCCGACTACTGGACCATTGGTCTATAGCGATTCTAACGACATTTACTTGTCAGTAATTAGCAGCTGTAGACATTTATTTTGTCATTGACATATTTACTGATGGTACAGAAAAATGTCGATCTGTTAGTTGTCTTGTACTCTCCAGCTGGTCAAGGTCATATAAATTTTCCCACAAAACAAACAGCTGTTAGTCACTATGATATATGAATGATTTTTTTATTAAAAATTAATTTACAGAAAAATTGTGACCTTCGTCAGTTTATAATCAGACTAGACATAAATTTAACTATCCATTAAATTTAAACTGAATAAATAACTATTGTTGTGTACTATAACACAGTTAAACTGAACGTAGCTTTTCACTGCCGACGCACCTCTACGTGTTTTACTTCTTACTTATATTATAAACCTGAAAGTTTAGATGAATGGATGTTCACATGAAGGTATCTCCAGAACGGTTCAATGAATTTTGATGAAATTTAACACACATGTAGAACATAGTCTAGAAGAACAAACAGGATACTTTTAAGATTTTTTTAATTCCGCGCGGAGGATGTCATGGGCAACAACTAGTCTCAAAGAGGGACAAAATATTTTCCTACTTTTCTTTTAAATATTGTTTAGTACATTCAGCTTTTGTGTGTAAAATCTTACTAATATTATAAATGCGAATGTTTTGATGA